TTCAAATGCAGATAGATAACCTTGTTTCTGGTCAACCTCCTGTACCAATGATGTGGAAGAATTACACTTGTGATGAGGTGCCTAAAAGGAAGGAATCTAACTATATGGAGGGTCTCTTTCCAATACTGAATTGTGAACCTAATAACAAAAATGATCTCTTGCCATTAGCTTCCAGAAAGATCATTCCATATGAAGAGGTCTATCAACATGGTTTCGAGACATCTGGCAATTCAAATCCCTCCTGCAAGGATAATTATGCCAAGAAGTCCCTTAGCGCTGTTGGTACACTTTTGGCTTCTAGTACAAATAACTCCAACGACATACATTTGACTGAGGATGCAAGCGCTAAGTTTAAGAAAGAAAATCCAAAGGATGGGCAAGATTTGCAAAATAAAGCAATAAACACAGTAAAGAACATGAAAACGGTGAAGTCAGTTTTCATGATTAACAAAAGTCCCTCCATGATAGTTTTATGGGAACTGGTCTGAAATTGAAGGATCCAGAAAGTACCAGCTCATCAATTGATTATAGCACAGGCAGCGTTGATACTCGAATCTTTGACGATGTAGATGTAGGTGAAAGTGAAATTCCATGGAAAGACCTGGTTCTTGGTGAAAGAATTGGACTAGGTAATGGTCTAGCTGATCTTTGTCTGTGAATTAGTTTTTAACATGGTTAAGTCGTTCTTTTATTTATTTATTCATGCAAGAGTCAGATGTGTTATCTTTCTTCCAGCTTGACATTTACTTAGTCGATTGTGATATTTGCATTTAGCAGTGCAATATGCTGAAATTTTCTTGAAATCCTCTGATCTTTAGATATTTATGTTGTCTTCTCAATTGGTTCATATGGGGAGGTCTAGCAGGCTGATTGGAATGGCACAGTTAGTTTTATACACCCCATTTGTGCTTGAACTTGATTGTTCGCTGGAAGCTTCATTTATTTCTTATTCTCATCCAATTTAGCCCTCATCTTTTTATCTTCCTTCTGTTTGATATGTTTATATTAGCTTGTGTTTGGTGATTGATCTATGATTCCCTGCCAATGCAAATTGTTTTCTTAGTTTCTTACTGTAGCCACACTAAAGGCATATTTCCTTTTCTCCTCCTTTAGGGCTGCAGTTGTAAAATGATTAACATTACCCACTAGCTTTAGGTCTCCAGCTCGGTATACAATAGTTATTTGTTTCTTTATTTTGGGATAACTTGCCGTACTAAGACCAGTTTATTTTCTTTTTGGTGTTTCTTAAGTGTCTTCTACTGACTTGGAGATTTTCTTCTCCACTGATTGATATGGTTTTGAGGATGAAGGGTCATTAGATGCTTAGAAGATGGCCTATTTTTTGCTGAGTTTTGGGTGTTTTGGTTAGAAAGAAATGTTATTTAAGAAAAGATCTAAACTGTGTGATGGTGCTTGGGAGATAACGGCGTTTTTTACTTTTTCTATGGCTAAAGCTTTGTTTATTCCGAAGGATTTTTTTACCTGTGCTAGAAAAGATTGGTGTCCTATTTTGTATTAGTGTAGCTTTTTGTTTGTTTCTATTTCTTTTGGAGGATGGTTATCCCTCAGATTGTTATTTTTCTTTCTATTAATATTTTTTGTATTGTGAAAAAAAAAAATCTATAGTAGTAAAGTAAAGACGTATTGGAAAGGACGGAAGAAGTATAGAACTAAGAATGCATAGAAAAGAATTTCTGGCAATCAAAGTGCTTGTAACCTATTCTTACAGATATACCCAGAAAGGACACTACTGGGTTGGTGGGTAAAAAGGTCTGTAAAATTGAGAAGATTGTTCTGGTTTATTTGAAGAAGTTATGAACCATTTGAAACTATATCTGTTTTTCCTTGTACTTGCTCCATCTGCGTTTTCCTTTGTTTTATCTTTCAGTAGCGTCTTCCTTGCAATCCTGATGAATTCATCATTTGTATGCATGTGATCCTCGGCAGATCCATCTTTTGCCACACTCTTGTCATGTAAGGTGTGGATAATGCATAGGCTGCACCATCCAAATGTTTTTCTATTTATGGGTGCTGTTACTCGTCCTCCAAATCTTTCTATTATTTCTGAGTTTCTGCCAAGGTATTATTTGATCCATTCAATTAATTGTGCATCATTGGTCCAATATGAAATGCTAAAAGTTGCTAATGTTTTAAATTGTGTGAATGACATTTTTGTTTTCCAGTAGAAGTCTTTATAGGATTCTTCATTGTGCTCACTGCCAGATTGATGAAAAGCGTAGAATAAAAATGGCTCTCGATGTGGTATGGGATTGATCATGCAAACATTGTTTCTTTGTGGCCATAAATTCTATATCATATGCAAAATTTTTGGCTTTTTTCCAGGCAAGAGGTATGAACTGCCTGCACACCAGCATACCGACAATTGTTCACCGGGATCTGAAATCACCTAACCTTTTAGTTGATAAAAACTGGACTGTCAAGGTATATACGCTTCCATTTTCATTTTTTTAGCTTTCGATTATTTTTTAAGTTTTCTCTTGTCTTTCTTCTCATATTTTTAGAGTCAAAGTTAGTCTTCTATCCAGCCCTGTGTGTGAGCCAGAATATTCTATTGGCCTAGATGAACCTTTGTTTGGATCTAGTTACTTGGATAATGCAAGTATACGCCTTATTCTTGCCTTCCATGTCAGAAGGGATTTGTTATGGGGTAGACAAGCCTTTTGTGTTTCTAACATTATGCTGAAACTACTAGTGCTAAATGATCCTAAAAACAGATATTGATATATGTATGTTTTGGTTATTTAACTTAAGTTAATTATCATTTTATGGTTGCTTTGATCATAGAACCAGTACTTGGATGTTTAGAAGCATAATGCTTGAATTCCAACTTAAACTCAAAACCTGCTAATTGCCTGGCAAAGTATAGAAAAAGGAAACTTGTAAAATAATGATACTGGAGTCTAGTCAAATTTGAACATGAAAAAATCATATGGGAGGAAGAGAAGGAGGTCTCAAGCTTTACATTTCCTTGTGTTTTCTCTTCTTGGTTTTGAAGGACAGTTAGATTGTCACATTTGCCTTTGAGCATGATCTGTTACATGTTTATGCATTCATATTTTGTTGATATATCTTTTGATGCAGTGCTAAATGATATAGGTTTGTGATTTTGGGTTATCACACTTAAAGCATAATACATTTTTGTGGTCCAAATCAACTGCTGGAACAGTAAGAATTTGACATTGTTATTCATTCTGTTATTTTCTTGTTTACTGGTCTTTGGGATAATGGTGCAAACAGCAATTTGTTTTGGAGCTTTCTTTAATGATATGCTCTAAGTTTGTCTATGATTGAACAATCTTTAATACTGTTTAGTGTCAAAATTTTTATCAATTGTTATCTGTCATAAAGTTGCTTAATGCTGCAATATTCCGATGTAGGTACCAAAAAAAATTGATCATGTAAAAATTCAACAGGAGAAAGAAAAACTTAAAAGTAGGCACTGGAAAAAAGGTAATTCAAATGCTTAAATACTATCAATTGTTTAGTGTCACAATTTCTATCATGATATTTTGTAAGCAATAATACATTTGGCAACTATATGTCTCAACTATTGACTTTTCTACTTTTGGTTAGTATATAGATGAGACTGAGAGTAAAACTGAAATCAGAACTCTAGAAGTTGCCTCACTGGTAAAGCTACATAAAATGAATTGAAGAAGTAGAAAATAGAAAGAATGAAATTTTAATTACTTAATGCCCTATAGTTTCAAAAAAAATTAATTAATGCTCTACAGGAGAATAAAGTTGATATAAAGATTCAAAGGAGGAAGAAAAAGTCAAACGAGGCCATTGAAAATAGGTAATTTACATAATAATTTGCATGCAAGAATGTATTTGGTCTTTTGTTTTTTGTTTTTTTTAAAAGAATAGAATGTTTGGTTAATCCTTGTTAGCAATCACATTTTAACTAACTATTGATTGTTTTATTACGCTATTATATTATGAAGCTGGGAATAAAACTGAAATGAGAGCCACAGAGGTCTCTTCATGAATTAGGGCCAGACAAACTGAACGGAAAAAGAAGTTAAGAGGAAAGAGAAGTTGCTCGTCCTGCATTAGAGAAGGTTTGACTGTCTGACTGATTTTACTCTTGTTAATTTAAGTTCTTAGTAGCATGTGATCTTTTTCCATCTTTATTCAATCTTTTACTGAATCTCCAACATAATAAAATTGACTATTTGATTCCGGGGTTCTTTGATTTGAGGATAGTCTATTAACTATGCATATTTTCAGTATATGGACAGCGAAAATTGTTTTAGTTTTTTCTTTATTTTCTTCAATCTTTTGCCCTCAGGTAGAAAACAACTTCCCCTTGTGAAATTACGTATAAAAAGCAATATAGTTTTTTACAGTTAATTTAATAAGAGGAAGTTGTCTTTTATCCGAATGCAAAAGATCGAAGAAAATGAAGAGAAAACTAAAGCAATTTTCACTATCCATTCACTGAAGATTCCCATAGTCAATAGATTGTCCTTTGATCAGAGAACCCCCAAATCAGATAGTCAAACCTATTGTCACGCCCGTATTTCTATGGATCAGGGCACTATTACAACTCTTGCCTACATGCCTGTAATAGTTACTGTTTATGCAAAATGGATGCATTCTGATAGTCCAAATTTGACTTTCACTATTCATATTAAAGAACAATTTATTCCAAACATGCTCAGCAAATTTTAACCTTAGCAGACTACAAATGACCGTTCGATCGTTGGAGAAAGTCAAACTGGTCGGTACAGGGAAGAAAAATGTGAATAGTAATTTCAAACTGAAAGTACCGAAAATCTAATCATCCAAAATCGATCTCCACTGTTCAGAATGAATAACAACGAGTCTTCTAAATACCCACTAAATTTCAATTGATCCAAGTAAAGATAATCATCTGATCGTGAAAAAAAATGCAAAACACGTTGGATGTAATTTTTTTAGCAAAAATTTTTTTTTTCCGATCTTTTGGTGGCTGAAAACTTATTTTTATTCTATTTCTTAGTGTTAAAGTGGTATACTAAAAAAAAAATTCTAATAACCTTAATGGGCTAAAAATAAGTGGGCTCAAAAAAGATTTGGGTTTTTTCACATAAAAAGGAACCCAAATCTTTACTTGAACCAAGAGAGATCTCGTGGTTTTTATCCTTCACATTGAATGGGTTTTTTACGTTAAAAATTTTGGTGTCTTTTTATGATTATTTTTTTAGTATCGTGGGGCAGATTTTATCATATTTATTTTGACTAAATTTTTACTTAGCTTTTGCTCCTCATATATTCATTCAAGTGCTTCTCAATAAGTGGTATCAGAGCTTGGTTCACTAACTTATTGGTTGATTGTGGATTTTCTTTACTGTTTGATATGGAGTGATGTGAGTAAATGGTTTGTTTAGATGACCCAATTATTCCAGTGAAAGGAAAA